GTGCTGGTGCTGGTGGTGCTGCTGCTGCTGCTGCTGCTGGTGCTGGTGCTGGTGCTGGTGCTGGTGCTGGTGCTGATGCTGGCGCTACTGCTTCCTCCTGTTAGTAGGTATTGGAGGAATGGTTCAACATAGCACTCGCCAAAACAAAGCTACATACAAGCCCTTCTTTCCCTACATATGAGCAAGCGAGAAGTGGTTGAAGAAAAGCCCGCGTAGACCAGCATGACAACCATCACCCAGACCCAAAGCTTTCAAACATGAGCCTGGACTTAGTCCCTTGGCACTGGCAGCTGCAACAAGTCCCGGACTGCACGCGAAAAGTTTGCGGCTGTTGCCAGGTATCCGGGCCTCACTGTCTAGCCCTACAAGAACGAAGCTGCTACACAAGCATGAGCAGCGATAGCAAAGGCCTCATTGTTGTCATTGTGCTGGTACGCACAAGCGGCAATTATAGTAGCCTAGGCTACGCTGCGCCACTGAGTTTCCAGCTCAAACGCTCCACTGGCCTGAAAGCTCATACAAATGGTCTGGCTAGCGTGCTGGCTGCTGGATGCCAAACACATGATCGGTTGCGTATGTCTGCACCCTAAACCTATGCAAGCCATTGTGAATGGGGAATCGCTGGGCATGGAGCTGTCAATTGCCCACCATAGGCCCAATCAACGTTGCTATGCGCTATATAGGGAATTACTTTGTAGCCTGGATATGCGAACGTGCATGACTACTTCTCAAAAGACTTCCGATGCCTGAAACAAAAGCCAGCGTCCAACGTTTGCAGCTTCAATTCGCAAAAATCCCAAACCCAAACCCAAATGTGCGGCACCCAAACTTGCATTGCAGAAGCACCTGCCATGGTTCAAAATACACGTCCCCAAAAACGCCATGCGCCTCGTCAGAAGTCCGCTTGTGGAAATTGTTTTAGTTATGGTTTTCCATCTTGTCCACTGGCCTTTAGAGCAACCATCGAATGCAAATGGATTTGTCACAAGTAGGATCCCTCGTATTTCTTTCAAGCATGACTACTGATGTTGAGATCTTTTCACAAACGTGGCGGAGCCTTGCCAACGAGTGTGGCGAAGGCAGCTGTGCGGAACATGGATCCTCTGTTTGGACTTTGCTGGCGGGGCGCCGCCTCATCCAGAGATCTGGTTCAAACACACAAACAAACAACAGCAGCAAGAATGGCGATAACATGTTTCTGTTTAATTTGCCATTTGCTCTTCAATTTATTTTCCCTTCTTTAAGGTTCTTCTCGAATATAACCCCGAGTTAATCCCAAGGATAGAGATGGCAGCAGCAAGAGGAAAAGCGGCAGAAGTAGCGGCCTGGTGCTAGATGGAGTATTGGTCATGGTCATGCAAGATAGCACTGTAAAGCCCCTGTGAAAACCCTATATTACCCATATGATCCCCATATGACCCCTAAACCGTATAGAATACCCCCCGTTAAACCCAAACTGGACGGAAGGTCTTGTGTGGATGTGGAGGAGGGGTCATCTCGGCAAGATTTGTTGATGTGGATGTAGTCATGGGCCTCAATATTGAACCCTAAAACCTAAGCCCTAAAGCCTAAACCCTAGCCCTATTCTAGAAACTGGGCGTGATTCGGACATTCAATGCCTCGGGGCCCGCTACACGCCCCCTTTTCAACCTGACAGTAGTCATGAGGGTTAGTTTGGGAGCAATTACCGGGACTTAACAAGGATGCTAGCGACGGCAGAAGTTGTCTTGGGAACAAATAATCAAAAGGGTGAATTGCAAACCAGGGAATCCTGGAAATCTTGGTGGAATCGTGGCACAAAGTTCAAGCTTGTTCCATCTAGAGCCACCTATGTGGCTCCGTTTTTCGGGGTAGAAAATATGTTATAATGCGTAACCGCAGAACCATAACAAGTCTAAAGAGGAATTACACAGAGGCCCTTGGGACAACTTCCGAAGCTGCTCTACAACCAAACCTCTGGAGGTTCATGTATCTCTGGAGATCCAAGTCTACAATGACGCCTACCTTGGCCCCCAAAGTCTGTAAATTACTTCCTTGGGATATATCTCGATCCCAAGCGTGTGGGCAGTCATGAGTGTCACCGTAAAAAAGAACTGCAAGTACAACCCTTGTTCGAAGCCGACCTTCGAATATTGGGAAGCCAGAATTCCCAAGGTGAAGATCTTTGGGGTGCTACAACCCCTATAGTACTCCCCCCAAGTATCAAATATTATGGTATTTGGGTTTTGGGTAATAGTAATTATAGTACAGGTTTTGGGGTAGTCCCCTATAGAATCCCCATCCAGGAGTTTAGAATATACCCAAACCCTCCTATGTAGTTCCTTTTTTAACTCGACAGCTAAGACTTGAACCTCTCCATTAACCCTATGATACCCGAATCCCTGAACTAACTGCTGAAACGCCTAGACCCTCATCCTCACGATATCAGCCCGATCCCCTAATCCCTCAAGTCCTTCAGCCCCGTGAAACCCCTCAAAAAGGCGGGAAACCCAGAAAACTCCTGAATCTCCTCTTTACAGGCTATGGGGCCCTAAACCTTAAACCCCAAACCCTGCCTAGGGATCCATGAGCCACTGTCTAAACTCCTAGTATCCTCCTTAATAACCCCTATAGTTGTCCCCCCTAGAATCCCCTTCCAGGAGTTTAGAATATACCCAAACCCTCCTATGTAGTTCCTTTTTGGGTAGTATATTATAATCCTTTACCAAGAAACCATAAAAGACCCAAAAAGGAACTACATAGGAGCCCTTGGGGAGGCCTCAACGTCCGAACAGCTTCATTGAGGGCGCAGGTCTTTGAGCTGAAATGCCAGATTTGCACAGTGCTTTGGTACCGTCAGTGGGGGGTATAGGACTTACATAGGGCTGGGGGTTTCCCAAAATGAGGGACACCATTCTTATGGGGTCCCTATAATCAGGATTATAATATGTTGGGGTCCGTTTTCAGGTCCCTCTATTTTAGGAAACTACCACGACGACCACTTCTTGAGAGTGCAGGTTTGAGGGCTTCCGGTGTGAGGATTTTCAGTCTGCGGCTTGGGATTTGAAACCATGCTGCAAGGTCGGTGTAAAGTGTTGCAGGTTGTTGTAGTGATAAGGTTCAGCGCGCTGTGCTAGTTTGTTGACCTGTTTGTTGTAGACTCAGAAAACCCAGGAAGAAGACACGCACCCGAAACCTACACCCTCACATTGAAATACATGGGAGCCTGGAAAGCTCAACTCTTGGTGGCTTCGGTACAGAGATCCCTCCGGGTACAGTGGCAGGAAAATGCTTCAGAGGTCTGGCTCAGCCTATGTATGTCCAGGTTTTTGTCCGTGGTGCATTTGCTGGCAATGGATAGGTTTTTGGGCTTAGTAGGGCAAGGGTTAGGATCAGCCTGATACCGTTGTCTATTCTCATGGTTGCCATTAAAGCTGTCACCATTTGGCAAAGAATCTGCAATCTATCGCCATGCACAAGTATCTCCGCACCTAAGCCTCCATAACCTAAGGCTCTACAAGCAGACGCCCAGCACCACCGTCTGCTCGCGCAAAGGGCTAAACCCTAAACCCGTAACGGATGTGAGAGGAAGTTATCGAGTGCCACGCGCATATCTTTTGCTGAGCCTTATCGAGCTTAGTTTGGGGAGGCAGGAAAAGCGCCTCTGGTCTCCTTCATCTTGCTGGTCGTTGGTAGGAAATGAAAGAATGAAAAAGACATGAAAGCTACAATAACGGGCTACTATAATAGGGATATTCCTCCATTCCCCCTTCATCCCCTACTACAACCAGTAAGTTATCTACATGGCGGCAATCCAAGCAGCCTTGTCAACGGGTCTGGTGCCATCGCGTGCTGCTTTCCCTTTGTCAGCACCGGCTGCTAATAACAACTTGGCAATTGCCTTGTGGCCTTGGCGGCATGCCACCCAGAGAGGTGTGGCACACAGCGGGCCACAAACCTTCTCCTTGTCAGCACCTGTGCTCAAAAGCAGGCTAACACTGTCCAGGTGACCTTCCCGACACGCCAACCAAATGGGAGTAAAACCTTCCTGTCCGTCCACTTTGTCCTTGTCGGCGCCAGCCTTCAGCAACATCCGCACAATCTCAACGAAGCCTCCGCGTGCTGCGTGGGCGACGGCTGTGATCCCCTCAGCTTCAACCTGGTCAATATCGGCACCTGCCTGCAGCAACAACTGCGCGATTTCCATATGGCCAGCGCCTGATGCCATGCCAAGAGGGGTGTCGAAACGTTGAGCTTGGTTGCTGTCAGCGCCTGCCTTCAACAACAACTGGACAATTTGAAGGTGTCCATTACCCGAAGCTGCCGCTAGAGCACCGCCCATGTTAGCACGCGCCGTCAACAGCCGTTCCACGATCACCACATGGCCATTGCCTGATGCCTCCATCAACGCTTGGCTATTGGCAGGGTCAGCCCCCTCATCCAAAAATAAGCGCACAAGCTCAACATGACCATTGGCTGATGATAACTCCAGTGCCCGATTGATGCTGGCACCAGCACGGACCAGTAAGCGCACTGCATCCACGTGCCCGCCGTCTGACGCTCTGGTCAGCGCTCCATGGTCATGCGCAGCGTCAGCACCGTGCCTAAGCAACATGCGCATAAGCTCGATGTTGCCATTAGCTGCTGAGAGCTCAAGCGGAGTGCTTTCTCCAGCGGTTTCCACGTGGATTGCTTTATTAACATTGGCGCCTGCCTGCACGAGCAAGCCGGCAAAGTCCAGGTCACCGTCTCTTAAGGCCGTAGCCAGCAATGGGCTGTCTTCGAAGTCAGCAATTGCTATGTCTGTGGCCGCCCCTGCTTCCAACAGGAGGCGAACAACTTCGATGTTTCTGTTCTTGCATGCCCAGTAAATGGGTGGTTCTGACTCACGTGCTCTTGCTTGCAGAATCCTACGCCGCTTCATGCTTCGACGGAGGCCATGCCAGACACCATCTGGATGCAGAGGCTTCTGCAGAAACTCCTCGACCTGCTGGGCGTCGCCGCTGCGAGCAGCGTCGGCAAGCATCCTGGTCTCATCTTCACTCACATTGCAGAAGGGCAGCAGCACCAACTGAAGGTCAGCTGGTGATTCCAGCTCAAGCTCATCTTCCAAATTCTGTTGCCCATCCAACAGCCTCTGCCTGAATCGCGTCACTCCACAGACCCCCTGCAGGTGCCGCTTGAGGTTACGCACATCTGTTAGCTCTGCAACAGGTATTGCAGCGAGTTCTTTCCCTGATGCGTTGCAGACGCGAAGCATCTTGGCCAGTTAGCTTCGCAGCAGCAAGGCGATCACAGGCCGAGGACTTGTCCACAGACTGATGTACTGCTATCACTGGCTTCATGCAAACGTTTCAGTCTAGATTTAGAAGATCGAGATGAATTACTTAAATACTGGTGCCTTGAAACTTAGAGCTGGCTTCTGTCTCGGCATGTCAGGGGCATGAGCAGGGAGCAAGGATAATGCTTAGTGAGTCACATTGGTGTTGAGCTGTGATCATAGTAGTATCGCACCCATAGGTCATTGCAACTCTCCGCTTGTACCAAGCTGCGAGTAACTTGACATGTCTCCTATTCACCTAGTGAGCAAGCGATCATCCTTATCAGCCCCGAAAGCCTCACCTCGACACCAAAAACCTGCAATTCTGGCGATTCACGTAAGCTATAATCTAAATCCTAGCATTCCCCATAATAACCCCTATAATACTACCCTATATACCCCCCTTTAAGGACTTTAGATTATAGATCATATGAGGACTTATCCTATAGGGCCCTAACGATGAAGGTCTGTTGGTCCAAGGTAGACGCCCCAGAGGTGACTGTTACAGGGCCCAGACGTCTGCTGGGCAGGAACTTGTAAACAGGCTGCCATAGTATGGACATATAGCAGGTGGCATGGCTTTCTTATTCTGGTAGCTTAACAGACTCCTTAACAACACTTAGACTTGCACTGCCGCAATAGTTTGGAACTTTGAAAAGCTCACTAAGTCTTGAATTGCTTGGTAGGGAATAAGGATGAATATGGGGAACTGTAGACAGGCTCCTCCGTTCCATAATAGCCAAAAGCATGTTCAGGGAGCCAAGTTAAGCTTGGGGGAGCAAGCGCATCACACCCCC